TAACGAGACACTAGTGATGCCTTCCTGGCACCACCACACTACCTGACAACCACCAGTGCCACACTACCACCACACTACCTGACAACCACCAGTGCCACACTGCCACCACACTACCTGACAACCACCAGTGCCACACTACCACCACACTACCTGACAACCACCAGTGCCACACTACCACCACACTACCTGACAACCACCAGTGCCACACTACCACCACACTACCTGACAACCACCAGTGCCACACTACCTGACAACCACCAGTGCCACACTACCTCCACACTACCTGACAACCACCAGTGCCACACTACCTCCACACTACCTGACAACCACCAGTGCCACACTACCACCACACTACCTGACAACCACCAGTGCCACACTACCTCCACACTACCTGACAACCACCAGTGCCACACTACCTCCACACTACCTGACAACCACCAGTGCAACACTACCACCACACTACCTGACAACCACCAGTGCCACACTACCACCACACTACCTGACAACCACCAGTGCCACACTACCACCACACTACCTGACAACCACCAGTGCCACACTACCACCACACTACCTGACAACCACCAGTGCCACACTACCTCCACACTACCTGACAACCACCAGTGCCACACTACCACCACACTACCTGACAACCACCAGTGCCAAACTACCACCACACTACCTGACAACCACCAGTGCCACACTACCACCACACTACCTGACAACCACCAGTGCCACACGATCACCACACTACCTGACAACCACCAGTGCCACACTACCACCACACTACCTGACAACCACCAGTGCCACACTACCACCACACTACCTGACAACCACCAGTGCCACACTACCACCACACTACCTGACAACCACCAGTGCCACACGACCACCACACTACCTGACAGCCACCAGTGCCACACTACCACCACACTTCCTGACAACCACCAGTGCCACACTACCACCACACTACCTGACAACCACCAGTGCCACACTACCACCACACTACCTGACAACCACCAGTGCCACACTACCACCACACTACCTGACAACCACCAGTGCCACACTACCTCCACACTACCTGACAACCACCAGTGCCACACTACCACCACACTACCTGACAACCACCAGTGCCACACTACCACCACACTACCTGACAACCACCAGTGCCACACGATCACCACACTACCTGACAACCACCAGTGCCACACTACCACCACACTACCTGACAACCACCAGTGCCACACTACCTGACAACCACCAGTGCCACACTACCACCACACTACCTGACAACCACCAGTGCCACACGACCACCACACTACCTGACAGCCACCAGTGCCACACTACCACCACACTTCCTGACAACCACCAGTGCCACACGACCACCACACTACCTGACAACCACCAGTGCCACACTACCTGACAACCACCAGTGCCACTCTACCACCACACTACCTGACAACCACCAGTGCCACACTACCACCACACTACCTGACAACCACCAGTGCCACACGACCACCACACTACCTGACAGCCACCAGTGCCACACTACCACCACACTACCTGACAACCACCAGTGCCACACTACCACCACACTACCTGACAACCACCAGTGCCACACTACCACCACACTACCTGACAACCACCAGTGCCACACTACCACCACACTACCTGACAACCACCAGTGCCACACTACCACCACACTACCTGACAACCACCAGTGCCACACTACCACCACACTACCTGACAACCACCAGTGCCACACGATCACCACACTACCTGACAACCACCAGTGCCACACTACCACCACACTACCTGACAACCACCAGTGCCACACTACCACCACACTACCTGACAACCACCAGTGCCACACTACCACCACACTACCTGACAACCACCAGTGCCACACTACCACCACACTACCTGACAACCACCAGTGCCACACTACCACCACACTACCTGACAACCACCAGTGCCACACGATCACCACACTACCTGACAACCACCAGTGCCACACTACCACCACACTACCTGACAACCACCAGTGCCACACTACCACCACACTACCTGACAACCACCAGTGCCACACTACCACCACACTACCTGACAACCACCAGTGCCACACGACCACCACACTACCTGACAGCCACCAGTGCCACACTACCACCACACTTCCTGACAACCACCAGTGCCACACGACCACCACACTACCTGACAACCACCAGTGCCACACTACCTGACAACCACCAGTGCCACTCTACCACCACACTACCTGACAACCACCAGTGCCACACGACCACCACACTACCTGACAACCACCAGTGCCACGCTACCACCACACTACCTGACAACCACCAGTGCCACACTACTACCACACTACCTGACAACCACCAGTGCCACACTACCACCACACTACCTGACAACCACCAGTGCCACGCTACCACCACACTACCTGACAACCATCAGTGCCACACTACCACCACACTACCTGACAACCACCAGTGCCACACAACCACCACACTACCTGACAACCACCAGTGCCACACTACCACCACACTACCTGACAACCACCAGTGCCACACTACCACCACACTACCTGACAACCACCAGTGCCACACTACCACCACACTACCTGACAACCACCAGTGCCACACTACCACCACACTACCTGACAACCACCAGTGCCACACTGCCACCACACTACCTGACAACCACCAGTGCCACACGACCACCACACTACCTGACAACCACCAGTGCCACACTGCCACCACACTACCTGACAACCACCAGTGCCACACTACCACCACACTACCTGACAACCACCAGTGCCACACTACCACCACACTACCTGACAACCACCAGTGCCACACTGCCACCACACTACCTGACAACCACAGTGCCACACTACAACCACACTACCTGACAACCACCAGTGCCACACTACAACCACACTTACATCACCACCAATACACTCTCACAACACCACACTACATCACCATCACCACTACCACCACACAACCATCCACCACTACCACACCACCCCACCATCACCACCCCACCACCACCACCACCACTACCACACCACCCCACTACCACCACTAACACACCACCCCACCTTCAACACCCCACCACCACCACTACCACACCACCCCACCACTACCACACCACCCCACCACCACCACTACCACACCACCCCACTACCACCACTACCACACCACCCCACCTCCAACACCCCACCACCACCACTACCACACCACCCCACCACCACCACTACCACACCACCCCATCATATCAGACGGGGATGAGTGCCAGGAACATAATGCACTGCAGTAACCCGTCTGGACCCTCTTAGTGAGATTGATAACATACCTAGTGAGTCTGCCATATCAGGCTGACACTACTGAAGTCTGCCATCTCAGGCTGACACTACTGAAGTCTGCCATCTCAGGCTGACACTACTGAAGTCTGCCATCTCAGGCTGACACTACTGAAGTCTGCCATCTCAGGCTGACACTACTGAAGTCTGCCATATCAGGCTGACGCTACTGAAGTCTGCCATCTCAGGCTGACACTACTGAAGTCTGCCATCTCAGGCTGACACTACTGAAGTCTGCCATCTCAGGCTGACACTACTGAAGTCTGCCATCTCAGGCTGACACTACTGAAGTCTGCCATCTCAGGCTGACACTACTGAAGTCTGCCATCTCAGGCTGACACTACTGAAGTCTGCCATCTCAGGCTGACACTACTGAAGTCTGCCATCTCAGGCTGACACTACTGAAGTCTGCCATCTCAGGCTGACACTACTGAAGTCTGCCATATCAGGCTGACACTACTGAAGTCTGCCATCTCAGGCTGACACTACTGAAGTCTGCCATCTCAGGCTGACACTACTGAAGTCTGCCATCTCAGGCTGACACTACTGAAGTCTGCCATCTCAGGCTGACACTACTGAAGTCTGCCATCTCAGGCTGACACTACTGAAGTCTGCCATCTCAGGCTGACACTACTGAAGTCTGCCATATCAGGCTGACACTACTGAAGTCTGCCATCTCAGGCTGACACTACTGAAGTCTGCCATCTCAGGCTGACACTACTGAAGTCTGCCATCTCAGGCTGACACTACTGAAGTCTGCCATCTCAGGCTGACACTACTGAAGTCTGCCATCTCAGGCTGACACTACTGAAGTCTGCCATCTCAGGCTGACACTACTGAAGTCTGCCATCTCAGGCTGACACTACTGAAGTCTGCCATCTCAGGCTGACACTACTGAAGTCTGCCATCTCAGGCTGACACTACTGAAGTCTGCCGTCTCAGGCTCACACTCCCACCTTTTAACCCCCTCTCTTTAACTGTCACCCTGTAACGCCAACCCTTTAACTACCACCCTTTAACTCCCGCCCTTTAACCCCCGCTCTTTAACCCCCGCTCTTTAACCCCCGCTCTTTAACCCCCGCTCTTTAACCCCCGCTCTTTAACCCCCGCTCTTTAACCCCCGCTCTTTAACCCCCGCTCTTTAACTCTTACCACACAATCTGCGCCATATAAACTATTATCATCAATCATCATCGGGAAGGCCTAAACCCGCATGAGTCAGACCCCGACCTGGAGAACAGAATGTGGTTTGATCCGAGGAAGAGGGGTTCAGGAGGACACTTATGTAAGCGTCAGGGAAATGCAGTGATTTTTGTGCCTGATGAGCAGTATTGTGTTGCTGGAGAAGCAAGGAGGTCAGAAGGTTTCAAGTCTATCCACTACACCAGGTCATTAAGGCAGCGTCGAGGACAAGTCTCTTTTTCAATGTTTTATTAAAAAAATTAAAAAAAAATTACATTTTTACAACAAATACGAAAATGTAATTAAACCTCATCAATAATGTTTACTTAATTAAATTACATTTATATAATATATATATATATATATATATATATATATATATATATATATATATATATATATATATATATATATATATATATTTTATATTATATATATATACATCGAATATTATTTACACTTCAAATGTAACCGTATGTACATGAGTAATGTATATGCAGTTTAGAATTGTATTTAAAACTACAAACACGTTTAAAAAAACTAAATATTATACCTGAAAACTTAATCATTATTCTACTCTCGAATCCTGACACCGGTGATATTTTGTACCACATGCGCATTATTATTGTGTGAGTACGCTGAAGTGTACTCTGGTGCCTGGAGGAGTACATGATGCTTGAGGGAGTGACAAGCATCACCTGGAGGAGGTGGATCAAGGTGTTAGGGAGAGGAGAAGGTACAAGATACGCCATACACAGTAGTAATTACTTCGTCTTGTACTGTTGAGGTCAGAAGTGAAAGACTAAGTGAGTCCAGAAGAGTAAGAGGGAGTGAGGGATAGTGGAACAAGAGAGATAATAGGAAGATGAGAGAGCATCCTCTTGTAGCAAATGGCGACAAGATACAATCTGAGACGGAGGCAGCAGACGGAGGCAGCAGACGGAGGCAGCAGACGGAGGCAGCAGACAGAAGCAGCAGACGGAGGCAGCAGACAGAAGCAGTGCCTCACATGACAATCCGACTCCCTTCGCCACCAGAAACATTAACAATGTAACAATACTGGCGTCTCATGGCTTCTTCTGTACGTGGGCACCTCCTTTATCCTCCTTGACACTGGTTCTAGCTATCCTACTTGCACAAGATTGCAAAGCCAATCCACTGAAAAGGTGGTGACTGTAGAAGGAAGAGGGTTTTGGAAGCGGAGCTTCAGCGATGCCCACTAGCGACAGACCTCGTCGTCAGGAACGCAGGCGGAGGAAGCAGTAACCAGGAAGAGCCGTCCGCTGGGGCACACACACACCTGTAGTGAAGATCGTCGTCAGAATCATGGGACAGGAGAGAGTCCTGCACCTTGTCTACGTTAATCTTCCCTTTTGACTGAACTACTATTAATTTTTAAAGGGGTGTGGACCCGTAAGCCAGTGGAAGGCTTCGGTCAGATGACCTAAAGTTCCAGCTGCGGGTCATTATATGACTAAGACCGGCGTCAGGAAACACACTGTCCTGTTTCCTGACCAATTTTATCTACCCTACCCTCTTAAACTGTTTTTGAATGCCGGAATTAAATACTGCAGAAGCTGTTCTGCGTAAGTATTCACTAACTGTTTATGGGGATTGAGTCTTAGCTCCTGGCCCAGCCTCGTAACACACTATCGATAGGCGTTTTTATTTTAAGCCTTTATTTTATGTCTTTACATTTTACTACTAAAATGGAGTTTTCTTCCATGACTTTCTGATGCACCTGGTCGCACCTCCTAGCCGGCCTCACTCCACTTTCACCACTCTGCTCATGAAGTGTTTCCTAACTACCTTGTGGCTCATCTTTCCTTTTACCTGCCATTTATGTTCCCCTGACCGCTTGCCTTGCGTGTCCAGCGGTCTTACTCTAGTCGACCTGTCAATAACTCTGAGTACCTTTTACGCTGTAATAATGTCTCTCCCTGCTCTTCGCTCTTATAAAGGTCGTTGCATTTAGCGTTTTTAGGCTATGTTGTTAGCGCAGATCCCTCAGCTCTGGTACATTGGCATGTTACAGCAACCTAGACTGAGTCAAGCTTGTGTTCTCTCCTGCAACAGAATTTGTCAGCGTGTGTGTGTTGCCAGTGTGTACCCACCTATATACATGATTGCAGGGGCCGACTTCTCACCTCCTGGCCCCACCTCTTCGCTAGCTGCTAGTGGGTTCGCTCCTGGCTTAGAGAGCCTTATTGTACGCTTTCTGCCTCAGCCACTCTACTGTTCAGGTCGTTCCACTTCCTGACTACGCTGATATTGAAGAAATACTTCCTAACATCCCTGTGAGTCGTCTGTATTTTCATCTTCCGGCTGGTCCTCCTAGTATTCCTGTTTCCCGCCGTCTCCTGAAAAGTCTGTCTCTGTCCACCCTGTCAATTCCTCTCGGTATTTTTATCATACCACCCTGAGCGCTCGTGTATGTGTGTGTGTGTGTGTGTGTGTGTGGTGTGTGTGTGTGTGTGTGTGTGTGTGTGTGTGTGTGTGTGTATGTGTGTGTGTGTGTGTGTGTGTTTGTTTCTGTCTCGTACTACCCACACTTACTTGGTACACCCGCACAGGAGGGAAGGTGTGAGCGTCCTGGGAAGGTGGTGACGGCAGGGGTGTGGTGGGCATGTTCTCTCCCTCGGGCGCTGGAATCTGGCTCTCTGTAGCAAGGGAAATAAAAATAAACTTCGTCGGGGAGAGAGAGATAGAGAGAACGGACACACACAGTCCCACCTATGGAACAAACCACAAACCCGCCGTACTCTAGCTGTGGGTACCGTTTGTTTATTTGTTCCAGTATGATTTTGCAATATCAAGCAATCTTTGTAATGCCCTTGATACGGTGATAGGTTTCTATCACCACCAGTGGTGAAGTGATGGGTTCTCCATCAATGAACTTGAAGCTACTCTTGCCTTTCTTTGATCAACCTTGACAGCGTCCCGGTCCCTATGTGTTGACTGTCCTTCACGATTTAGTGTTTCCCCATAAATAAAATGACTATAATTAATAATAATTATAATAATAATAATGAACAGAAATAATAATGGGTTTAATGAGTGAAAGTGAAGTAGATTAGGTACAAAATCCTAGACCTTGTTGGTCAGGGTGAGTCAGTAGGTAGAGTTTACACCTGGCTTCCAGACGAGTCGGATCACCTTGGTCACACACACCTTGAGGAGTCTCGGTGACAGAGTTGTCTCTTTCCATCGCCCCGGTGTCCTGAAAGACGCCGTACTCAGGCAGCTTCGGCAGGAAAATGTTGGGACTGTCTATCCTGATGGCTCCCTGGTGTGCCTGCAAGTAGGCCTCCTTCAGGGAGGTAGCAGAGATGTCTCCATCACGAGCCTCCACTCTCACCTCCTGAGCCGCTTCTCCTGACACCCTCCGCGTCCAGCTCTCCAACCTGTGTAGTACACGACACACAAGCAACTTGCAATTTAAGCTCCTCTAAGGCTATCCCTCAATTGTATATCTTTCAAGGGTAAGTTGCAGAGTTAGTGAACGTCCCTGTGTGTGTGTGTGTGTGTGTGTGTGTGTGTGTGTGTGTGTGTGTGTGTACTCACCTAGTTGTAGTTGCAGGGGTCGATTCACAGCCACTGGCCCCGCCTCTTCATTGGTCACTACTAGGTCACTCTTCCTGCTCCATGGGCTTTATCATATCTCTTCTTAAAGTTATGTATGGATCCTGCCTCCACTATATCACTTCCCAGACTATTTCACTTCCTGACAACTCTGTGACTGAAGAAATACTTCCTAATATCTCTGTGATTCATCTGAGTCTTCAACCTTCAACTGTGTCCCCTTGTTGCTGTGTCTTATCTCTGGAACATCTTATCCCTGTCCACCTTGTCGATTCCTCTCAGTATTTTATATGCTGTTAACATGTTGACCCTGTCCCTCCTGTCCTCCAGTGTCGTAAGGTCAATTTTCCTTAACCTCTCCTCGTAGGACATGCCTCTTAGCTCCGGGACTAGTCTCGTTGCAAGCCTTTGTGCTTTCTCTAATTTCCTGGCGTGCTTGCCTAGGTGTGGGTTCCAAACTGGTGCTGCATACTCTAATATAGGCCGGACGTACACGGTGTACAGAGTCCTGAACGACTCTTTAGTGAGTTGTCGGAAGGCTATTCTTAGGCTTACTAGTCGCCCATATGCTATAGCACTTATTTGGCTGATGTGTGCCTCAGGAGATATGTTCGGTATTATACTCACCCCAAGATCCTGTTCCTTAAGTGAAATTTGTAGTCTTTAGCCCCCTAGGCTGTATTCTGTCTGCGGTTTTCTTTGACCTTCTCCGGTCTTCATGACTTTGCACTTGGCAGTATTGAACTCCAGGAGCCAATTGCTAAACCAGGCCTGTAGCCTTTTCAGATCCCTTTGAAGTCCTGCCTGGTCCTCCTCCGACTGAATTCTCCTCATTAACTTCACATCGTCTGCAAATTGAGACACTTCTGAGTCTATTCCTTCCATCATGTCGTTCACATATACTAGAAACAGCACCAGTCCTATAACTGAACCCTGCAGAACCCCACTCGTCACAGGCGCCCACTCCGACACCTCGTCACGTACCATGACTCGCTGTTGCCTTCCTGTCAGGTATTCTCTGATCCATTGCAGTGCCTTCCCTGTTATACCTGCCTGGTCCTTCAGCTTTTGCACTAGTCTACTGTGTGGAACCGTGTCAAAAGCCTTTTTACAGTCAAAACAAATGCACTCTACCCACCCCTATCTCTCTTGCCTTACCGCTGTCACCTTGTCGTAGAACTCCAGGAGGTATGTGACACAGGATTTCCCCTCCTTGAATCCGTGCTGCTTGTCGTTGATAAGCTCATTCTTTTCTAGGTGTTCCACCACTCTTCTGATAATCTTCTCCATGACTTTACATACTATACATGTCAGTGACACTGGTCTGCAGTTTAATGCTTCGTATCTGTCTCCTCTTTTAAAAACTGGGGCTACATTTGCTATCTTCCATACCTCAGGTAGTCGCCCTGTTTCGATTGATGTGTTGAAGATTGTTAATTGTAGTACACATAGCGCCTCTGCTCCCTCTCTCAGGACCCATGGAGAGATGTTATTCGACCCCATCGCATTTGAGGTATCTAGTTTGCTTAGCAGCCTCTTCACTTCCTCCTCGGTTGTATGTATTGTGTCCAACACTTGATGATGTAACCCACCACTCCGTATTTCTGGAGTCCTGTCTGTCTCCACTGTGAACACTTCTTTAAATCTCTTGTTGAGCTCCTCACATACTTTTCGGTCATTTCTTACGAGCTCTCCTCTCTTCTTCAGCCTTTACCTGGTTCTTTACTATTGTTTTTCTCCTGCTGTGGCCGCACAACAGCTTTGGGTCGGACTTGGCTTTCGCTGCTATGTCATTTTAGTATTGTCGTTGCGCCTCGCTCCTTACCTGTGCATATTCATTTCTGGCTCTTCCACTACTCTCCTTATTCTCCTAAGTCCTATGACTCTGTATTTCTTCCATTCTCTATTGCATTTGGAGTTAGCCTCTCTACACCTGCGGGTGAACCAAGGGCTCGTCCTGGCCTTCTCGTTATGTCTGTTACCCTTGGGTATGTGTGTAAGTGTAAGTGTAATTGTGGTTGCAGGGGTCGATACTCAGCTCCTGGCCCCGCCTCTTCACTGCTTGTTACTAGGTCCTCTCTCTCCGTGCTCCATGGGCTTTATCATACCTCGTCTTAAAACTATGTATGGTTCTTGCCTCCACTACATCACTTGCCAGACTATCCCACTTCCTGACAGCTCTATGACTGAAGAAGTACTTCTTAACATCTCTTTGACTCATTTGGGTCTTCGACTTCCAATTGTGACCCCTTGTTTCTGTGTCCACTCTCTGGAACATCCTGTCTCTGTCCACCTTATCTATTCCTCTCAGTATTTTGTATGTCGTTATCATGTCTCCCTTAACCCTCCAGTCCTCCATTGTCGTCAGGCCGATGTGTGTGTGTGTGTGTGTGTGTGTGTGTGTGTGTGTGTGTGTGTGTGTGTGTGTGTGTGTGCGTGTGTGTGTGCGTGTGTGTGTGTGTGTGTGTGTGTGTGTGTGGTGTGTGTATGTGTGTGTGGTGTGTATGTATGTGTGTGTATGTGTGTGTGTGTATGTGTGTTGTGTGTGTATGTTTGTGTGTGCTTGTGTATGTGTGTGCTCATCCAATAGTAGTTATCTAGCTGTGATTGCAGGGGTCTAGACTCAGCTCCTGGTCCCGCCCCTCTGCTGGCCACCACTGGTTTTACTCCTTGCTGTGTGAGTCCTATCATTCCACTTCCTGACTACTCAAAGTCTAAAGAAGTGTTTCTTAACATCCCTGTGGTTTATCTGTTCTTTTAACTTTGATATGTGACCTCCTGTACCTAAATCCCGTCTCTCAGACACTCTCCCTGTCCACCCTGTCAATTCCTCTAAGTATTTTGTAAGCCATACCCATGTCGCTTCTGGTGGTTCTCTCTAGTATCGCCAGGTTTAGCTCCCCTAGCTTCCCCTCATAGTTCATACCTCTCAAATTTGGGACTAGTTTTCTTGCAAACCTTAACACTTTTTTCTAGCTACTTTACATATTTTACCAGGCAAGGGGCTCCATACTGGCGCTGCGCACTCCAATATGGGCTTGATATATTCTGTGTGTAAGATCGGGAATTCTTCACTGGTGTTCTTGAAAGCTACCCTTATGTTATCTTGAGGAACACGAGTGAGAACTGAAAGCTTAAATTGCCACCTACAGTAGTATGCAAATTAACTGTGACAGGAGTAAATTTTGTGATTTTCTCATAATGTCATAATCTCCGGCTTAATTAGTATAGTTTGGGTTATTTTCTTTTCAGAAGAGTTTGGTACTGACTTCTGACAACCCTTCAATTCATGATAACTAATGAAATTCACGATGGATGTTACACCTAGGAAGCGTTCAGTTTCTTTGACAGAAAACTTGCTGATTTGAGTATCAGACAGATCGCCGAAAATTCGAGCCTAGCAAAGTCAACTGTTGGTCGGATTCTGAAGAGAGCTGATGACACTGGTGATTGTGGAGCGCTGCGTCGAGGAAAATGTGGAAGAAAACGCAAGACATCTTATGATGACAAGGTTATCATAAGAAACAGTGTGAAGGATCCCAAGAAAACCAGCAAATATCTACAGAGAAATTTGGCCTCAGCTGGCGTAAATGTTGATTCTGCAACCGTTCGATGAAGGCTCCTTGAAGTTGGCACAACTGCTAGAAAGCCAATAAAGAAACAATTATTGACTGCGGCTGCAGTGTGTACTCGATCATAAGGGATGGATGACAGAAGAATGGAGAAAAGTTATATTTTCAGATGAGGCGCATTTTGAAGTACATGGATACAGATCAGTAATAGTGAGACGGAGCAAAGACGAACCAAAATAGACAAAAACCCAACTGAGCAGTGACATTCAAGGCAGTCTTGTCAACTCATTTGCTTCCCAATGTGATTAGAGACTTTCCTGATGGTGAAGGCATTTTCCAACACGATCTTGCTCCATGCCACACTCCCAGAAAAATGCTGACATTCTCCAGAGAGTGTACTAAGTGTTCTAAATTGTCCTGGAAACTCTCCTGATCTCAACCCAATTGAGAATCTATGATCAATAACCAAACGCCGTGGAGAAGCTAATTGTTGCTGTTATTAGGACTCGGTACCATGACGGACTTGCCAAAATGTATTCAGTATTGGTCGATTCTATGCCGCAGCGTGTAGCAGATACTTACAAAACAAAGAGCAGTCATATCTCTTATTAAATCAATTATCTGTCATATCAGTGTTGTGTATTTTTCAAATAAATATTAATATTCCAAATAAATATATTATTTCATCACTGTTCAATTTAATATACACACTGTACCTGAGCTCATGAAGACTTAACTGAGCTTATGGACACTTACCTGAGCTCGTGGACACCCTGGGAATATACCAGAGGCGTCTGGATAGTTCCTTCAAACTCAGCACCTTCATCACCTGCAATGAATAAGAGAGTAAAGTAGACCAATATGGTAACTTCCGTGTTATTGTTCGAGGCGCGTGAGGTTTAGTGTAGACTAATGTAAACCGACATATCCCATCATTATCTGACGTACTAAGATATATACAGCTATATATATATATATATATATATATATATATATATATATATATATATATATATATATATATATATATATATATATATATATATATATATATATATATACAATAAGATCACAGTAAACAGGTGATTTTAAAATATGCAAACTTGGTTGATATGCCTTCTCTTCTTAAGACTTTTAATATTAAAGTTGTATTTAAAAATCTTGATACAGTAAAAAAAACTTTTGATAAAGAATTCCCCCCAGAATGCTGATGGATGTGTCTATAAGATTCCTTGTAAAATTTGCGATAAAGTTTATTACGGACAAACTGGTAAAAATCTCGAACTAAGATTAAAACAACATAAATATAGCATTAGAACTGGACAAGATTCCAATGCTCTATTTATTCATGTAAGAGATTTTAACCATCCAATTGATTTTCAAAAAGTTGAGAAAGTAGTATCAAGCAAGTCCATGGTCGACAGGAATATAATTGAATCTTGTTTCATAAAAAGCAGTTTTGAAAATAATATGAATATTTCCTTAGGTTATATAAATTAGACTCATTTACAATTAATAAAATTTGGTTAAAGTTTAATAATACATTGGACAAATAATAAACCTTATTTCTTGGGTAGAATATTTTGTTAGTGGGATGACGTGAGGACCTGCCTAGTTGGACCAGCGGACCTACTACAGTGTTCCTCTTTTCTTATGAGTCCGGTATTGTCGCGCGTCAGGTGTTTCTTTGTTGTGGGGGTTGACTGTGAGGTGTGGTTTAAGCCCTTTAATTGCCTTCCTTTGATATATTACTTTCATAGTTCCTTGATAATGTGAGTAGTCACGAAAGCACTTGTAATTTCACTACTCTTTCACACTGGTTGTTTTGCATATATATATATATATATATATATATATATATATATATATATATATATATATATATATATATATATATATATATATATATATATGTATGTATATTGTATGTGTGTACATTGCTCTTGACTACTTGATGCCTCATTATAGACGAGAGAATTATTGAAATATAAGACTAACTCGAAACTGTGTTAAGGAGTACTGGGAACTGTGAGTCTCTGGGTTTACCTGTGACGGTGGGTGTCTGGGTTTACCTGTGAGGGTGGGTGTCTGGGTTTACCTGTGAGGGTGGGTGTCTGGGTTTACCTGTGAGGGTGGGTGTCTGGGTTTACCTGTGACGGTGGGTTTTTGGGTTTACTTGTGAGGGTGGGTGTCTGGGTTTACCTGTGACGGTGGGTTTTTGGGTTTACTTGTGAGGGTGGGTGTCTGGGTTTACTTGTGACGGTGGGTGTCTGGGTTTACCTGTGACGGTGGGTGTCTGGGTTTACTTGTGAGGGTGGGTGTCTGGGTTTACCTGTGACGGTGGGTGTCTGGGTTTACTTGTGAGGGTGGGTGTCTGGGTTTACCTGTGACGGTGGGTGTCTGGGTTTACCTGTGACGGTGGGTTTTTGGGTTTACTTGTGAGGGTGGGTGTCTGGGTTTACCTGTGAGGGTGGGTGTCTGGGTTTACCTGTGACGGTGGGTGTCTGGCTTTACCTGTGACGGTGGGTGTCTGGCTTTACCTGTGACGGTGGGTGTCTGGGTTTACCTGTGACGGTGAGTGTCTGGGTTTACCTGTGACGGTGGGTGTCTGGGTTTACCTGTGACGGTGGGTGTCTGGGTTTACCTGTGACGGTGGGTGTCTGGGTTTACCTGTGACGGTGGGTGTCTGGGTTTACCTGTGACGGTGGGTGTCTGGGTTTACCTGTGACGGTGAGTCTCTCAGCGCCAACACTGCTTCCACTGGCAGAGGCTTGGAACAGATGCTCTCCGTGCGGTCCACGAACCTTGAACTTGTGTGTCCCAGCCAACACGTTATCCACATCTACGGAGTCAGGTCAGGGAAGCAGGGAAGATAGATAGAGCGGAGGTCACATAACGTACAGTATAAAAAGAATCACTGTACACTGCTAAGCTCATTTCAAAAGAACGTGGATGACTAAAAACTCGCAATACCATCGCTGAAACAATTTGCCAAACATCGCACCGAGGAGAAGAACCGTATGGCGAAGACTAGGTCCTTTCCTGGACCATTGTCAAGTCTAGGACGGTCCAGAGACGAACCGAAAGGTCGTCATAAAGCGCCTCCCCCAAGTACGATTCTTGGTGAAAAGAACGTGAAAGTTTAAATTGCTGAAAGAGTGAAAATATCTTCCCTGGACGAGCGTCAGGCAAGCTTGACCGGCGTTACCAGACCCAGGGAACTAACGCAATTTATTTTGTTGTTCGATGTCGTTGATCGAGTTAAAGCAAGATATAACTTGGTGTAAATATGGTAAGTAAGATGCATGTTCAACAGTGAGGTATCTTTATTCAGAAACGTTTGGCTTACGCGGTAGGCTTCTTCATTTGAATATGGAGGAGGCAGCAGAAACAGTAGAGATGTCAAGACGATGTAATCAATCCATCACACTCGAAGATGTAGTTTTGAGGTGGTCAGTCCCACAGCCTGGAAGAAAGTTTTGCTCCACAGTCTCGAATATTGTTCCGGACTATGGAGCAAAACTCTTTCCCAGACTGAGGGACTGACCACCCCAAAACTACGTCTTCGAGGGTGATGGACTGATTACATTGTATTGACATCTTTACTGCTTCTGCTGCCTCTTCTGTATAGAAGCCTACTGTGTAGGCGAAACGTTTCGGAATAAGGATACGTAACTGTTGCACGTGCATCTTATTTATCAAGGATATAATATTTCATGTTGAAGCTCGTCTTACTGAGGTGTAGGAAAGTAGAAGTGTGGCTGAGAGGAACATCCCCGGCAGACAGTAGGTCCTGATCGGTGGCGTCTGCTGTGGAAGGTGGCAGGAAGGGCACGGTGAAAACAGATAGGTTGTGGTAGCCGCTGATGACTAAATTCTTCTCCCTTCTGCTGGTGATGCTAGCTGTTGATACCTGAAGAGAAGCAGAGAAGGGTGATGTAATATCAGGTAGTGGAGTGTGCAAATGCATAGCAAGGAATCAGGGAATAAGCAAGAGAGGACTGAGCAAGAGACGAAGACAGAAAAGTAAGTGGAATGTATGATTAGTGGGGTAAACTTGTCCTTCTCCTGGAATACTAACTCTTATCTAAGTTTGACTACCTGTAGTTAAATCAATTGAATTTATATTTATAACTGCTACATCTTGTTATAACTGCTACTAGTTCCTCCCTCTAACTTTCAAAGATAATGAAAGTAAACCATACCACGGGCGGGATTGAACCCGCGGTCAGAGTGTCTCAAAACTCCAGACCGTCGCGTTATCCACTGGTATGGTTTGGTTGCAATCGTGTCATTACGATTTCGTGAGTCATAATGAAAATAATTCTTCCCCACCACTATCACCACCACTATCACCACCACTGTCACTATCACCACCACTATCATCACCACTATCACCACCACTATCACCGCCACTATCACCACCACTGACACTATCACCACCACTATCATCACACTATCACCACCACTATCATCACCACTATCATCACCAACACACCACTATCCCACCATCACCACCACGTCACTATCACCACCAATATCACACCACTATCACACCACTGTCACTATCACCACACTATCACCACCACTATCATCACCACTATCATCACCACTATCACCACCACTATCATCACCACTATCACCACCACTATCATCACCACTATCACCACCATATCACCACCACTATCACCACCATCACCACCACTGTCACTATCACCACCATATCACCACCACTATCACCACACTGCACTATCACCACCACTATCATCACCACTATCATCACCACTATCACCACCACTATCATCCACCACTATCACCACCACTATCAATCACCACTATCATCACTATCACCACCACTATCATCACCACTATCATCACCACTATCACCACCACTATCACCACCACTATCATCACCACTATCATCACCACTATCACCACCACTATCACCACCACTGTCACTATCACCACTATCACCACCACTATCATCACCACTATCACCACCACTATCATCACCACTATCATCACCACTATCACCACCACTATCATCACCACTATCACCACCACTATCACCACCACTATCACCACCACTGTCACTATCACCACCACTATCACCACCACTATCACCAACACTACATCATATCATCACCACTATCACCAGCACTATCATCACCACTATCACCACCACTATCATCACCACTATCACCAGCACTATCATCACCACTATCATCACCACTATCATCACCACTATCACCACCACTATCACCACCACTATCACCACCACTATCACCAACACTATCATCACTATCATCACCACTATCACCAGCACTATCATCCCCACTATCATCACCACTATCATCACCACTATCACCACCACTATCATCACCACTATCATCACCACTATCATCACCACTATCACCACCACTATCACCACCACTATCACCAACACTATCATCACTATCATCACTATCACCAGCACTATCATCACCACTATCATCACCACTATCACCACCACTATCATCACCACTATCATCACCACTATCACCACCACTATCACCACCACTATCATCACCACTATCACCACCACTATCACCACCACTATCACCACCACTATTACTAACATCAGTCAATTTATTATCTTTATTATGCCCCACATACCCATCCTGTGGGCGGTAGTCAAAAAGATTACAGAGGTACATAATGGGTCCAGGGACTGGACTCCAAAGTTTTGGTAGCTGAACAAGTTACAAAGGTAATGAACTATGTACACATCTACACCTGATCACAATTACAATGAGTTATTAATGCAAATAATAGCTTTATTTATAGTGAGAAAAATCAGGGTATTTTTCCAGAATGGTTTGTAATATACCACTGTGGATAAAATACTTTGACATATCTTAAACATTTCTGAGTGAGTTTTCTGAATTCATTAGTTTTATCGCACTCCAGTACATAATTACGCAAGGTGTGACAATAGTCCATCTGGCAAAGTTTACATTTCGTTTGGTCTACATCTGGTGGTGGTGATTTAAGCTCTCAAAGATACTTGTAACCCAGCCGGAGCCGGGCGGTAGTGGCATCCAAGAGTCTGGTTATTTTGTTGGGCGCACCATAGATATGTGGCTCCTCCTGCATGATAGAATGATGACCACTACCACTTACCTTCTCCATGAGCAAGGTTTTACCCTGCATCTTCACGCCTCCCACGACAACGTGAAGTAAACTCATGCCGTCCTGTGGAAGACCCGACACTATCAACACCACATCATCTACAACACCTGTTACACACCAATACAATACTGAATGTTTATATAAATGATCATTTTATGAGATCTCTAATATCGTTTTCTCATTTTTCATCCCCTCCCCCTTCCCCAGTCTCTCCTCGCCTGCATCTTCCCCTCACCCCACTCACCACGTTGAAGTGGATAGTTTTGAGGATCCAGAGTGTGAGTGAGAGGTTGACGACGGAGAGTGTCAGGAGTGCCACCAGGAGAGTGTAAAGGCAGCGTCTGCGCCACCCGGAGGTGGCCACACGGACGTTGTGGCCCCCGACTACGATGGTGGCAGAGCCAGTCTCACCACCCCAGTCCACTTGTGGCCGGTACCCCTGCACCACACCTGTTGGGAGGTGGAAGACACCTGTAATAAGACGCCGGTACCCCTGCACCACACCTGTTGGGAGGAAGGAGGGGGAAACACCTGTAATAAGACTTGTGTATTGACTACCATTCGTGTTAAGAGGCACGTAAGTTCTCCCGTCTTCTAATAACATGTTCATTTTTTCCACTATAATCTACCTTGTCCATAATTACTATCGCATTTGCTTTGTTGCAGACCTCTAAGAAAAGTTCAGACCTCTACAACACAAATGTCCTCGAAGATTTGTTAAGTTATACCATAAATTAAGTAAAGATCCTGGACTTCACCTTACGAAACAGACAAAGCAAATGTGATAGTAATTATGAACAAGGTAGATTATAGTGGAAAAATGAACATGATATTAGAAAACGGGGAAAATTACGTGGCTTTTTAAGGGGAAGACACCTGTCACGTTAGTTCGAAGGAAAGAACGAACAGACAGACAGACAGACAGACAGACAGACAGACAGACAGATAGATAGATTTTTACATGTTGAAGTATTCTCTTCTGTCTCTTTCCTTCTCGTATTTAATCTCTTCTTTCTCCTCTTTATATTATCTCACTTACCTCTCCCCCCTCTTCTGTCTTCTTTAATTTCATCTCTTTCACCTTTCCTCCTTTCTCCTCCTCTCCTTTCATCCACCTTCTCTCTCTTTTTATTCTCTCCTCACCACCTCATTCTCCACTTTTACTAGATGAAGGATATAACCAAGTGGTGTATATCAGTGTATATACACAGAGGTGTATATCGCAGTGCATATACACAGGTGAGCATATATATATATAATAATATATATATATATATATATATATATATATATATATATATATATATTATATATATATATATATATATATATATATATATATATATATATATATATATATGTCGTGCCGAATATGTAAAACTGGTCAATTAGCAAGAACTCATTTAAAATTAAGTCCTTTCTAAAATTTTCTCTTATACGTTTAAAGATAGATTTTTTTCATTTATGTTAATATAAAAATTTTTAATTTTGCACCAAAAGAATCTTAGAAAACTTACCTAACCTTATTATAAAACGAACAATTTATTTTAGCCTAAACCAACTAAATATATTTTAGATTTGTTTACAATAATTTAATACTAAACAAATACAGTGAAATATATTTTTTTCTTTAGGTTCAGAATGATTTTGGCGAAATTACTGCATACACAAATTTTCACTTGTCCTATATGGCAAGATGAACGTTGCTATTTAAGCCAAGATCGCAAGTTCTGCCTATTCGGCACGACATATATATATATATATATATATATATATATATATATATATATATATATATATATATATATATATATATATATATATATATATATTATATATAAACACTGATCTATATATATATATATATATATATATATATATATATATATATATATATATACTATATATGGTTTAGAAAGACACGTAAGCAAACACTATGACATATTTATTAGAAAACGTTTCGGTCCTGGGACCTTGATCACTTCTAACATACAGAGGTAGAAAGGCATTATATATATAGGCGGAGAGTGAGGTGTGACGCACGTGACCTGAGGAATGTCATAAGAACATAACATAACGGCAGAGGCAGTTTTGATAAGGACCTGCCTCGCATGGGCCAGTAGGCCTTCTCCAGTGTTCCTCCATTCTTATATGTTCTTATGACATTCCTCAGGTCACGTGCGTCACACCTCACTCTCCGCCTATATATATATAATGCCTTTCTACCTCTGTATGTTAGAAGTGATCAAGGTCCCAGGACCGAAACGTTTTCTAATAAATATGTCATAGTGTTTGCTTACGTGTCTTTCTAAACCAACTTGTCGGTATTTATTACCAAGGTTTATACCATATACTATATATATTGATGTATATTTCTCACGGAATGTATACTAAAGGTGTGTATATTCAGTATATATACACTGAGAGAATGCATTTTTTCCATGGCTTAAAAATTATTATTATTATTATTATTATTATTATTATTATTATTATTATTATTATTATTATTATTAGACATTCCCAAGGTGGACCTTTAAGTGTTTTCCAGATTTTTTCTTCCCTTTTTTCCTTTTAATTCTTTCTTTTACTTTTCGCTCTAATATCTCTCAAAACACAAGAATGCCTCGTTCGATTGGTTTCAAATTTTGAATGCTGGTGCAGTGTAACTTGAGCAAGCTTCGTGCAACAGTTAGCATGTTCAGGAACTCTCTGACCAGAAGAAAAAAAAGGATTGTAGGACCCCAGTCACAGAATTCTAATAATGGCTCCGATAAATTCCGTGACCTTTCACCCTGCCTGCCCCACCCTGCCTGCCCCACCCTGCCTGCCCACCCTGCCTGCCCCACCCTGCCTGCCCACCCTGCCTGCCCCACCCTGTCTGCCACCCTGCCTGCCCCACCCTGCTGCCCCACCCTGCCTGCCCACCCTGTCTGCCCACCCTGCCTGCCCCACCCTGCCTACCCCACCCTGCCTGTCCCACCCTGCCTGCCCACCCTGCCTGCCCCACCTTGCCTGCTCCACCTTGCCTGCCCCACCCTGCCTGCCCACCCTGCCTGTCTCACCCTGCCTGCCCCACTCTGCCTGCCCCACCCTGCCTGCCCCACCCTGCTGTCCCACCCTGCCTGCCCCACCCTGCCTGCCCCACCCTGCCTGCCCCACCCTGCCTGCCCCACCCTGCCTGCCCCACCCTGCCTGCCCCACCCTGCCTGCCCCACCCTGCCTGCCCCACCCTGCCTGCCCCACCCTGCCTGCCCCACCCTTCCTGCCCCACCCTGCCTGCCCCACCCTGCCTGCCCCACCCTGCCTGCTCCCCACTGCCTGCCACCTTGCCTGTCCACTCTGCCTGCCCCACTCTTGCCTGCCCCACCCTGCCTGCCCACCCTGTCTGCCCACCCTGCCTGCCCACCATGCACTGCCCCACCCTGCCTGCCCCACCCATGCCTGCCCCACCCTGCCTGCCCCACCCTGCCTGCCCCCCCTGCCTGCCCACCTGCCTGCCCCACCCTGTCTGCCCACCCTGCCTGCCCCACCCTGCCTGCCCCACCCTGCCTGCCCCACCTTCCTGCCCCACCCTGCCAGCCCACCCTTCCAGCCCCACCCTGCCAGCCCCACCCTGCCTGCCCCACCCTGCCTGCCCCACCCTGCCAGCCCCACCCTGCCTGCTCTACCCTGCCTGCCCCACCCTGCCTGCCCCACCCTGCCTGCCCCACCCTGCCTGCCCCACCCTGCCTGCCTCTACAACACAACTATCCTCAAAGATCTGTTAAGTTATACCATAAATTAAGTAAAGATCCTGGACTTCACCTTACGAAACAGACAAAGCAAATGTGATAGTAATTATGGACAAAGTAGATTATAGGAGAAAAAATAAACATGATAATGGGAGATAGGGGAACTCAGGCGCCTCTTAAGTTTACCTTCGTGTTCGCGGACGAGAAAATTTTGAGTTTAGTAAATTCGTTGAAAAAAAACTTGGAGGAGGTTAGGTTAGGTAAGATTAGTCAGGAAAGAGGACAAGTGTTTCCTGACGCTGCTCTTAGTCATATCATGACCCACCGCAGAAGCTTTTGGTCATCTGACTGAGGCCTTCCACTGGCTTACCCCTCCAACACTTTAAAAATTATGGATGTCATTATTACCACTATTTTTATGAATTTACTCCGTGAGATCACTGGAAAATGACTCTTTTGATCGGCTTCGGATTTTCAGCCTTGTTGTTGTGTTACATAAGTCCCAGTTTCCCAATTTTTGTTAAACAGTAAAACAGAGTTAGTTAACCTCACGATGACATTGTTAGTAAATTAATATTTTAAGTAATGGTTAGGATACCATTATTAGTAATGTTCAGGATGTTATTGCAAGTGATGTTTACGATATTATTACTAATGTTTAGGCTAGTGCTGTAAGTAGATTTTGGGCTCGTATTGTTAGTAATGTTTATATTTGTATTGTAGACTGTCTTGGTACTAACAGTGTTTGTACTGGTACTAACAGTTATGTTGATAGTGACGATGGTAGTGATGATAGTGACGATGGTAGTGATGATAGTGACGATGGTAGTGATGATAGTGACGATGGTAGTGATGATAGTGACGATGGTAGTGATGATAGTGACGATGGTAGTGATGATATTGACGATGGTAGTGATGATAGTGACGATGGTAGTGATGATAGTGACGATGGTAGTGATGATAGTGACGATGGTAGTGATGCTGATAGTGACGATGGTAGTGATGATAGTGACGATGCTACGTAGTGATGCTGATAGTGACGATGGTAGTGATGATAGTGACGATGGTAGTGATGATAGTGACGATGGTAGTGATGATAGTGACGATGGTAGTGATGATAGTGACGATGGTAGTGATGATAGTGACGATGGTAGTGATGCTGATAGTGACGATGGTAGTGATGATAGTGACGATGGTAGTGATGATAGTGACGATGGTAGTGATGCTGATAGTGACGATGGTAGTGACGATAGTGACGATGGTAGTGATGCTGATAGTGACGATGGTAGTGATGTTGATAGTGACGATGGTAGTGATGATAGTGACGATGGTAGTGATGATTAGTGACGATGGTAGTGATGTTGATAGTGACGATGGTAGTGATGATAGTGACGATGGTAGTGATGATAGTGACGATGGTAGTGATGATAGTGACGATGGTAGTGATGCTGATAGTGACGATGGTAGTGATGATAGTGACGATGGTAGTGATGATAGTGACGATGGTAGTGATGCTGATAGTGACGATGGTAGTGATGTTGATAGTGACGCTGGTAGTGATGATAGTGACGATGGTAGTGATGATAGTGACGATGGTAGTGATGTTGATAGTGACGATGGTAGTGATGATAGTGACGATGGTAGTGATAGTGACGATGGTAGTGATGTTGATAGTGACGTTGGTAGTGATGTTGATAGTGACGATGATAGTGATGTTGATAGTGACGTTGGTAGTGATGCTGATAGTGACGATGATAGTGATGTTCATAGTGACGTTGGTAGTGATGTTGATAGTGACGATGGTAGTGATGCTGATAGTGACGATGGTAGTGATGCTGATAGTGACGTTGGTAGTGATGTTGATAGTGACGATGGTAGTGATGATAGTGACGATGGTAGTGATAGTGACGATGGTAGTGATGTTCATAGTGACGTTGGTAGTGATGCTGATAGTGACGATGATAGTGATGTTCATAGTGACGTTGGTAGTGATGTTCATAGTGACGTTGGTAGTGATGCTGATAGTGACGTTGGTAGTGATGATAGTGACGATGGTAGTGATGATAGTGACGATGGTAGTGATGTTGATAGTGACGATGGTAGTGATGCTGATAGTGACGATGGTAGTGATGCTGATAGGGACGATGGTGGTGATGTTGATAGTGACGATGGTAGTGATGCTGATAGTGACGTTGGTAGTGATGCTGATAGTGACGATGATAGTGATGTTCATAGTGACGTTGGTAGTGATGTTGATAGTGACGATGATAGTGATGTTGATAGTGACGTTGGTAGTGATGCTGATAGTGACGATGATAGTGATGTTCATAGTGACGTTGGTAGTGATGTTCATAGTGACGTTGGTAGTGATGGTGATAGTGACGTTGGTAGTGATGTTGATAGTGACGATGGTAGTGATGTTGATTGTGACGATGGTAGTGATGTTGATAGTGACGATGGTAGTGATGCTGATAGTGACGATGGTAGTGATGCTGATAGTGACGTTGGTAGTGATGCTGATAGTGACGATGATAGTGATGTTCATAGTGACGTTGGTAGTGATGTTCATAGTGACGTTGGTAGTGATGTTGATAGTGACGATGGTGGTGATGTTGATAGTGACGATGGTAGTGATGTTGATAGTGACGATGGTAGTGATGTTGATAGTGACGTTGGTAGTGATGTTGATAGTGACGATGGTGGTGATGTTGATAGTGACGATGGTAGTGATGTTGATAGTGACGATGATAGTGATGATAGTGACGTTGGTAGTGATGTTCATAGTGACGTTGGTAGTGATGCTGATAGTGACGATGGTAGTGATGTTGATAGTGACGATGGTAGTGATGATAGTGACGTTGATAGTGATGTTGATAGTGACGATGGTGGTGATGTTGATAGTGACGATGGTAGTGATGTTGATAGTGACGTTGGTAGAGATGCTGATAGTGACGTTGGTAGTGATGCTGATAGTGACGATGGTAGTAATGTTGATAGTGACGATGGTAGTGATGTTGATAGTGACGTTGGTAGTGATGATAGTGACGATGGTAGTGATCTTGAAAGTGACGTTGGTAGTGATGTTGATAGTGACGTTGGTAGTGATGCTGATAGTGACGATGGTAGTGATGTTGATAGTGACGATGGTAGTGATGTTGATAGTGACGTTGGTAGTGATGTGATAGTGACGTTCGTAGTGCTGTTGATAGTGACGATGTTGGTGATGTTGATAGTGACGATGGTGGTGATGTAGATAGTGACGTTGGTAGTGATGTTGATAGTGACGATGGTGGTGATGTTGATAGTGACGTTGGTAGTGATGCTGATAGTGACGATGGTAGTGATGTTGATAGTGACGTTGGTAGTGATGCTGATAGTGACGATGGTAGTGATGCTGATAGTGACGATGGTGTGATGTTGATAGTGACGTATGGTTAGTGATGTTGATAGTGACAATGGTAGTGATGTTGATAGTGACGATGGTAGTGATGTTGATAGTGACGTTAGTAGTGATGTGATAGTGACGATGGTAGTGATGCTGATAGTGACGATGGCGATGTTGATAGTGACGATGGTAGTGATGGTGATAGTGACGATGGTAGTGATGTTGATAGTGACGTTGGTAGTGATGTGATAGTGACGTTCGTAGTGCTGTTGATAGTGACGATGGTGGTGATGTTGATAGTGACGATGGTAGTGATGTTGATAGTGACGATGGTAGTGATGTTGATAGTGACAATGGTAGTGATGTTGATAGTGACGATGGTGGTGATGTTGATAGTGACGATGGTAGTGATGTTGATAGTGACGTTGGTAGTGATGTGATAGTGACGTTCGTAGTGCTGTTGATAGTGACGATGGTGGTGATGTTGATAGTGACGATGGTAGTGATGTTGATAGTGACGATGGTAGTGATGTTGATAGTGACGATGGTAGTGATGTTGATAGTGACGTTGGTAGTGATGATAGTGACGTTGGTAGTGATGTTGATAGTGACGTTGGTAGTGATGCTGATAGTGACGATGGTAGTGATGTTGATAGTGACGATGGTAGTGATGTTGATTGTAACGTTGGTAGTGATGTGATAGTGACGTTCGTAGTGCTGTTGATAGTGACGATGGTGGTGATGTTGATAGTGACGATGGTGGTGATGTTGATAGTGACGTTGGTAGTGATGTTGATAGTGACGATGGTGGTGATGCTGATAGTGACGTTGGTAGTGATGTTGATAGTGACGATGTTGATAGTGACGTTGGTAGTGATGTTTGATAGTGACGATGGTAGTGATGTTGATAGTGACGTTGGTAGTGATGCTGATAGTGACGATGGTAGTGATGTTGATAGTGACGATGGTAGTGATGTTGATAGTGACGTTGGTAGTGATGTGATAGTGACGATGGTAGTGATGCTGATAGTGACGATGGTGGTGATGTTGATAGTGACGATGGTAGTGATGTTGATAGTGACGATGGTAGTGATGTTGATAGTGACGTTGGTAGTGATGTGATAGTGACGTTCGCAGTGCTGTTGATAGTGACGATGGTGGTGATGTTGATAGTGACGATGGTAGTGATGTTGATAGTGACGATGGTAGTGATGTTGATAGTGACGATGGTAGTGATGTTGATAGTGACGATGGTAGTGATGTTGATAGTGATGATGGTAGTGATGTTGATAGTGACGTTGGTAGTGATGTGACAGTGACGTTTGTAGTGCTGTTGATAGTGACGATGGTGGTGATGTTGATAGTGACGATGGTGGTGATGTTGATAGTGACGATGGTATTGATGCTGATAGTGACGATGGTAGTGATGTTGATAGTGACGATGGTAGTGATGTTGATAGTGACGTTGGTAGTGATGTGACAGTGACGTTCGTAGTGCTGTTGATAGTGACGATGGTGGTGATGTTGATAGTGACGATGGTGGTGATGTTGATAGTGACGTTGGTAGTGATGCTGATAGTGACGATGGTAGTGATGTTGATAGTGACGTTGGTAGTGATGCTGATAGTGACGATGGTGGTGATGTTGAAAGTGACGTTGGTAGTGATGTTGATAGTGACGATGGTAGTGATGTTGATAGTGACGTTGGTAGTGATGCTGATAGTGACGATGGCAGTGATGTTGATAGTGACATTGGTAGTGATGCTGATAGTGACGATGGTAGTGATGATAATAACGCTGGTAGTGATTTTGATAGTGACGATGGTGGTGATGTTGATAGTGACGTTGGTAGTGATGTTGATAGTAACGTTGGTAGTGCTGTTGATAGTGACGTTCGTAGTGATGTTGATAGTGACGTTCGTAGTGATGTTTATAGTGACGATGGTGGTGATGTTGATAGTGACGTTGGTAGTGATGTTGATAGTGACGATGGTAGTGATGTTGATAGTGACGTTGGTAGTGATGCTAATAGTGACGATGGTAGTGATGATAGTAACGTTGGTTGTGATGTTGATAGTGACGATGGTGGTGATGTTGATAGTGACGTTGGTAGTGATGTTGATAGTAACGTTGGTAGTGCTGTTGATAGTGACGTTCGTAGTGATGTTGATAGTGACGTTCGTAGTGATGTTGATAGTGACGTTCGTACTGATGTTGACAGTGACGATGGTGGTGATGTTGATAGTGACTTTGGCAGTGATGTTGATAGTGACGACGGTGATGTTGATAGTGACGTTGTTAGTGATGTTTTTAGTGGCGATGGTAGTGATGTTGATAGTGACGTTGGTAGTGATGATAGTGACGTTGTTAGTGATGTAGATAGTGAAATTGGTAGTGATGATAGTGACGTTGGCTGTGTGTGTGTGTGTTTTGGGGGGGGGGGGTAACAAGTGAGTGTGGGCAGAAGGCTGGGAGAGGATTGGATGGGTGCCAACCTATTTCGCCTGAGACGCAGTGGTGGTGGTGGTGGTTGTAGTAGTGGTGGTGATACAGCCACCACAATCATTATATCTACCACCACTACCACTATTCAACCCTATCGCCACTTCCACCACGAGTACCCACTTCCTTCACCACCCACCCACATCACTCACCCACACCATCAACACCACCCACCCACCCACACCACCCACCCACACCACCCACCCACTCATCCACCCACCTACAATCCTCGTGCCGACACCAATGTGGTTGTGTCGAAGCTCAGTGGAGAGCATCCTGGTTGTTTAACTTTCCACTGTGTAATGGAGCAAGTTCCTTGTCACTGGCACCCACTAGCACCCACTGGCACCCACTGGCACCCTCTGGCACTCTCCGTCTGCAAGCCTTGCCAAACATCATGCTCCGCCCTCTCTACCTATCTCTCTCCCCTCAGTGTTCTACCTTTCGTCCACACACACACACACACACACACATATTATATATATATATATATATATATATATATATATATATTATTTTTTTTTATTATCACACTGGCCTCTTCCCCCCAAGGCAGGGTGGCCCGAAAAAAGAAAAACTTTCACCATCATTCACTCCATCACTGTCTTGCCAGAAGGGTGCTTTACACTACAGTTTTTAAACTGCAACATTAACACCCTCCTTCAGAGTGCAGGCCTGTACTTCCCTTCTCCAGGACTCAAGTCCGGCCTGCCTGTTTCCCTGAACCCTTCATAAATGTTACTTTGCTCACACTCCAACAGCACGTCAAGTATTAAAACCATTTGTCTCCATTCACTCCTATCAAACACGCTCACGCATGCCTGCTGGAAGTCCAAGCCCCTCGCACACAAAACCTCCTTTACCCCCTCCCTCAACCTTTCCTAGGCCGACCCTACCCCGCCTTCCTTCCACTACAGACTGATACACTCTTGAAGTCATTCTGTTTCGCTCCATTCTCTCTACATGTCGGAACCACCTCAACAACCTTCCTCAGCCCTTGGACAACAGTTTTGGTAATCCGCACCTCCTCCTAACTTCCAAACTACGAATTCTCTGCATTGTATATATGTATATATATATATTATATTATATATTATATATATATATATTATATATATATATATATATATATATACATATATATATATTTATATATATATTTTATTATATATATATATATATATGCCCGGTCTTGGTCCAGGCTCGCCTGGTGCTTGACTGGTCAGGCAGGCTGCCATTGGTGGCCGCCTCATAACAATTTTGCTCCCTAAGTTCTATATTAATTTTTATTTTTTAGTATTTTTTTTTATTTTTCATAAAAAATATGAGAATGATAATTACTTCTGGTACGGTCACTACTGCTATTCATAACAGTAATAAAAATATTAACAATAATGACTATTAATTATTATTATTATTATTATTATTATTATTATTATTATTATTATTATTATTATCGTCATTAGGATTTTTTACCTAAAATGTAAATGGTGTTTTCTATGTATTAAATAAGTTCAGACCCGGTGATACACCAGTCTGGTCTGAGAGAAGTGTCTCCTAGGGTCTGAGAGAAGTGTCTCCTAGGGTCTGAGAGAAGTGTCTCCTAGGGTCTGAGAGAAGTGTCTCCTAGGGTCTGAGAGAAGTGTCTCCTAGGGTCTGAGAGAAGTGTCTCCTAGGGTCTGAGAGAAGTGTCTCCTAGGGACTGAGAGAAGTGTCTCCTAGGGTCTGAGAGAAGTTTTCTCTAGGGTCTGAGAGAAGTGTCTCCTAGGGTCTGAGAGAAGTGTCTTCTAGGGTCTGAGAGAAGTGTCTCCTAGGGTCTGAGAGAAGTGTCTCCTAGGGTCTGAGAGAAGTGTCTCCTAGGGTCTGAGAAAAGTGTCTCCTAGGGTCTGAGAGAAGTGTCTCCTAGGGTCTGAGAGAAGTGTCTCCTAGGGTCTGAGAGAAGTGTCTCCTAGGGTCTGAGAGAAGTGTCTCCTAGGGACTGAGAGAAGTGTCTCCTAGGGTCTGAGAGAAGTGTCTCCTAGGGTCTGAGAGAAGTGTCTCCTAGGGTCTGAGAGAAGTGTCTTCTAGGGTCTGAGAGAAGTGTCTCCTAGGGTCTGAGAGAAGTGTTCTCTAGGGACTGAGAGAAGTGTCTCCTAGGGTCTGAGAGAAGTGTCTCCTAGGGTCTGAGAGAAGTGTCTCCTAGGGTCTGAGAGAAGTGTCTCCTAGTGTCTGAGAGAAGTGTCTCCTAGGGTCTGAGAGAAGTGTCTCCTAGGGTCTGAGAGAAGTGTCTCCTAGTGTCTGAGAGAAGTGTCTCCGAATTGAGAGAAGTGTCTCCTAGTGTCTGAGAGAAGTGTCTCCTAGGGTCTGAGAGAAGTGTCTCCTAGGGTCTGAGAGAAGTGTCTCCTAGGGTCTGAGAGAAGTGTCTCCTAGGGTCTGAGAGAAGTGTCTCCTAGGGTCTGAGAGAAGTGTCTCCTAGGGTCTGAGAGAAGTGTCTCCTAGGGACTGAGAGAAGTGTCTCCTAGGGTCTGAGAGAAGTGTCTCCTAGGGTCTGAGAGAAGTGTCTCCTAGGGTCTGAGAGAAGTGTCTTCTAGGGTCTGAGAGAAGTGTCTCCTAGGGTCTGAGAGAAGTGTCTCCTAGGGACTGAGAGAAGTGTCTCCTAGGGTCTGAGAGAAGTGTCTCCTAGGGTCTGAGAGAAGTGTCTCCTAGGGTCTGAGAGAAGTGTCTCCTAGTGTCTGAGAGAAGTGTCTCCTAGGGTCTGAGAGAAGTGTCTCCTAGGGTCTGAGAGAAGTGTCTCCTAGGGTCTGAGAGAAGTGTCTCCTAGGGTCTGAGAGAAGTGTCTCCTAGGGACTGAGAGAAGTGTCTCCTAGGGTCTGAGAGAAGTGTCTCCTAGTGTCTGAGAGAAGTGTCTCCTAGTGTCTGAGAGAAGTGTCTCCTAGTGTCTGAGAGAAGTGTCTCCTAGTGTCTGAGAGAAGTGTCTCCGAATTGAGAGAAGTGTCTCCTAGTGTCTGAGAGAAGTGTCTCCTAGTGTCTGAGAGAAGTGTCTCCTAGTGTCTGAGAGAAGTGTCTCCTAGTGTCTGAGAGAAGTGTCTCCTAGGGTCTGAGAGAAGTGTCTCCTAGTGTCTGAGAGAAGTGTCTCTAGTGTCTGAGAGAAGTGTCTCCTAGGGTCTGAGAGAAGTGTCTCCTAGGGTCTGAGAGAAGTGTCTCCTAGTGTCTGAGAGAAGTGTCTCCTAGGGACTGAGAGAAGTGTCTCCTAGGGTCTGAGAGAAGTGTCTCCTAGGGTCTGAGAGAAGTGTCTCCTAGGGTCTGAGAGAAGTATCTCCTAGGGACTGAGAAGTGTCTCCTAGGGACTGAGAGAAGTGTCTCCTAGGGTCTGAGAGAAGTGTCTCCTAGGGACTGAGAGAAGTGTCTCCTAGTGTCTGAGAGAAGTGTCTCCTAGGGACTGAGAGAAGTGTCTCCTAGGGTCTGAGAGAAGTGTCTCCTAGGGTCTGAGAGAAGTGTCTCCTAGGGTCTGAGAGAAGTGTCTCCTAGGGTCTGAGAGAACTGTTTCCTAGGGTCTGAGAGAAGTGTCTCCTAGGGACTGAGAGAAGTGTCTCCTAGGGACTGAGAGAAGTGTCTCCTAGGGTCTGAGAGAAGTGTCTCCTAGGGACTGAGAGAAGTGTCTCCTAGGGACTGAGAGAAGTGTCTCCTAGGGTCTGAGAGAAGTGTCTCCTAGGGACTGAGAGAAGTGTCTCCTAGTGTCTGAGAGAAGTGTCTCCTAGTGTCTGAGAGAAGTGTCTCCTAGGGTCTGAGGGAACTGTTTCCTAGGGTCTGAGAGAAGTGTCTCCTAGGGACTGAGAAAAGTGTCTCCTAGGGACTGAGAGAAGTGTCTCCTAGGGACTGAGAGAAGTGTCTCCTAGGGTCTGAGAGAAGTGTTTCCTAGGGACTGAGAGAAGTGTCTCCTAGGGTCTGAGAGAAGTGTCTCCTAGGGACTGAGAGAAGTGTCTCCTAGGGTCTGAGAGAACTGTTTCCTAGGGTCTGAGAGAAGTGTCTCCTAGGGACTGAGAGAAGTGTCTCCTAGGGACTGAGAGAAGTGTCTCCTAGTCTCAGTAGTAGTAACCAGTTACCAGTAACCAGGGTACCGTTGACTCAACGACCAACCGTCTCTGCCTGAGTCACTATCTGAATTCATATTGTGCTGACCTCAGCAGTATCAAAGGCCCACTCACACAGCCAACCGGGGGGAGTCATCCACTCCACCGAGTTTGTTCATTCCTCCAGTAAGAAAGAACTGATACCTTTATTCCAGAACAAACAACCTACTGGAAGGTTAGCTAGATGGACCTTGACTATCCAAGAGTTCAATCCCACCTTTGAGCATTTACCTGGCAAGTCCAATGTAGTCGCAGATGCCTTATCGCGACATGTTAGTATAGTAACTGCAGACCCTCCATTTAGTGCTGAAGATGTAAAGAATGCTCAACGAACAGATCCCATGTGGTCTGGTGTGATTCGATTCCTGCTCCAGGAAGATCTTATTCTGAATGTGAAGCCACCAGCACCCATCAGTGACTTTGTCATGAACCAAGAATTACTGTATCGAACAGCCGAGTTGGGTACTCCTAGCAGAAGAGTATACCAGTTAGTAATTCCACAGTCACTAGTGAATGTAGCCTTACAGTTAGTTCACGATGTACCAGGTGTTGCACACCCTGGTATGGATCGTTCAGTAAAACAAGCCAGATTGAAATACTTTTGGCCTCGAATGGCAACTGATATTTCTGAGTATGTTAAGAAATGTAGTGTCTGCATGCAACATAAAGGCAATGCTAATGGTCCTAATCCAATCCAAGTGTATCCAACTACTAGCGAACCTTGGGAAAGAGTTGCGCTAGATTTGTTAACTAATTTCCAATGTTCCCTCCAAGGTAACAAACATCTGTGTGTTATGGTAGACCATTTCACCAGATATTGCGAGTTAGTTCCTATTGCAGACAAGACTGCCGAGACAGTAGCCAAAGCGTTTAAAGAACGCATTATCTGCAGGCATACCACTCCTAAGTCACTAGTAACAGATAATGGAGGTGAATTCTGTAATGAAATTCTTGAAAATTTGTGTACCTTGTACAAGATCACTAAATCCACCATTGTTCCTCATCATCCTGCCAGCAATGGGTTAGCGGAACGAACCAATAAGAAAGTACTTGATGTCTTGAGAGCCACTATCAATCCCAATAGTGAAACTTGGGATGAAGTTATACCTGATGTGCAGTGTGCTATAAATTCTGCTTACAATGTTTCTATAGGTGACACTCCACATTATGCATTGTACGGTGTAGATTAACATTTGCCTTATGAGTTGTTATATTCTAATCCGAAACCAAATTACAACCCTGATGATTTCATAGCAACTCGTACC